GGCCCCTGCTGCCCTTCCGCTGTCCTGTGCTGCCCGGGGCGCTCTGCCAGGAGACCCCCCCACCCTGCTTCTCAGGTAAGCAGAGGCTTTGTTTTTTTTGTTTTTTTTTTTAAACGTGATGGTGCCTGGGGTTGTGGGGGTAGCCAAGGGGGCCTGGGGGTGAGGATGGGTGGGGCACCCATTGGGGGGTCTGGAGAAGCAGGCAGTGGGGCTGAGTGGGGCAGCCATTGAGGGGGCTGCAGCAACTGGTGGGGGATGGGGCCAGATGGGGCAGCAATTGGGGGGCTGGGGTGAGGCATGTGGGCCTTGCAAGGGGGGTGGTAGCCGCTGTGGGGGCCATTTGGTCCCCATTGGTGGACTGTACCCCTTGTGTGGGGGTTGAACCCCCTGTTGGGGCATGTGTGGATGCGCCCTATGGATATAAATTGGTTTTCAGGGCACAAAAAAAACCTTACCCTAAAAGCAATAAGGGAAACTCATTAAATTAGTGGGTAAACATGCTTTTCCAGGAAGGTATAGGTAAGGATATGACTTATGATTCAAATGTGTCAGAGGGTTACACTAGCAAAAAACCTAAATCATCAAAAGATGTTTTGAGGGGAAGAGGCTTTACAGCTTCAAAGGTTAATTTGATACTAGACTTGAAAATGAAGCAAAATGTAAAAGAGCAATATAGATTGGGTAGATCAGGTCACATTTAGGTAGTGACAGAGAGTGAAATTAAAAGTGAAAGGGACATTTTTGCATGAAACATGATTCATTGTCTCTAGCACCAAGGTTTTGCCCCAATGATCTAGAATTGTGTCTGGGTCCTAGACTCTGCCAGATTCATTCCACTTTTATATTTATTTTTTAATTTTCTTCTTGTGTAATTGACCATTTTAAAGGGCTACAAGCTGCAAGTTGTTTACCAAAGAACAAAGACAATAACCATGATTCAGGGGAGCCTGAAGAAAGGTAGTGGGACTCACCTGAGCAGTTGATTAAAGATATTAAGCAGAAGGATTTGACTACAGTTAGTAAATGCATGGAAAAACTGTAAAGACAAGATGGCAGTGAATGACAGAAAGATCATTTTAAAAAACAGAAAAAAGTGTTCCTATATAAGTTTTTGTTCTATAAAAGTACACAACTAATATATGGAGAAGATACCTTGGGTCGTTTGAAGTAGGTTATAAAAATAATGTATTCAAGGTAAACACTTTGTTCCACATGGAGACATGGAAAACACAACCCTCTGCTGGAGTATATTTCCTTTAGGCTTCCTTTAAGTAAGTATTAAGATAAGTCTCACCCAAATCCCTATGTTAGATTTCAGATTAATTTTCTCCCAAATCAGCTTCTTTTGCTAAATACTGTGGGATGATATAATGTTATGAATAGGGGTTTTCGTGGTTGAACTATGAATATCTGTTTTCAACTGCTATTCTGCTCCTCATAGTAGGACGTTACATGGTGGGCATATAGGCTGCTTGTACACCTGATGGGAGTTTAGTTTCCCTAAATTGAAATGATGGGTTTTTAATTGTGATGATTAAAAACCCACTATTTCAATTTAGGGGCTTTTTTTAGGCAGAACCAGCCCATGGCCAGGGGGTTGGCTGCCAGCAGGTTCTGAGCTGCAGGGGCCCTGGTCCTTCCTTCCATGGCAGTGGCACCCCCAGACCTCCCAGATGGGCTGCTAGTGGGCCAGGTACCGGGTCCGAGCTAAGGCAGCACTTGGCCTGCTGATAGCCCATCCAGGGAGCCCCAGGGGGGTGAAACCACTGCAGAGGGTAAGACTGCCCCCCCCCCCCCCCGCCCCCGCTGCCTTTTTTTTCCCCCAGGGCTTCCGGCACCCTATGCACTGTCTTTACCATCTGGGACCACCCAGAAACAGGCTGGCTTGCCCCTGAGGACAGTTCAGGAAGGTAGAAGGAGGGCAGCTGGGTGTGCTGGCACCTGAAGGAGGTGGCAGAGACAGTGCATCAGGCACTGGAAGCCTGAAAGGGCTCAGGGATGGATGCAACACTCCAATTTATTAGGTAGCAAACTAAAATACATTGGGATGTGTTTTAGTTTGCTACGTAACAGTCATTTCCTTCGCAATACACCACCACACATGTACAATGTGACAAAATTAAATCGCAACGTACTGCTGCTCATGTAACATGCCACAATTAGACCTCTAAAAAGGGCAGTTTCATCACATGCACAAGCAACCATATGCTCATATATAAAACACCTAAGTTTCCTATTTGTGGAACAATATTATACTATGCTTTTATTCAATGTTTTATTGTTTAGACTGCAAGGAGATAACTTAGTGGAACAGGCGGAGGATGTGTCGCTCATGTCTCAGGGTCCTGAGGAAGCACTGCCTGACTCTGATGGTAAGTTACATGATGTATGTAAAGCTGCTCTTGTATCAAATTATGTTATACTGATTAAGTAGTGGCTGTAAATAAAATATGTAGTCAAACTAGAAATTATTAAAGACATTTAATATTTAAAACTGCAGCAACAACAAAAAATCAAATCCAGCTCTCTGAGCACCCTGGATGTAGATTTAGAAAATACAATATTATCAAACAACACTTTTTCTTCTGTCTCTCTAATCACAGATCTGGAAACAGCAGACCCATAACTTACAGTTATTCCCCCAAGAAAAATCTTTCCAGATCCTGCCTCATCTCTCCTTCAGTTCCCACTGTAAAAAATGGGCTTTACAATGTGCCAGAATAGTTTACCAGTCATACCAAATGGTGTTGAGCTTGGTCTCACTGTTGCTATATATTCCAGGCAGTCCCTCAGATAGAAACAATTTCCAATGAAGTATATATGTAGACCAGATTAGTTTTGGCTTTGAGTTTTGGCTTTGACTTGTTAGGACTTTAGCAGTCACCTACCGGTAAGGCTGTTTTTTACTTTGGTGAATAAAAATTAATAAATATATAAAGCACCCCAGAACAGATCTAAAATATACTATTATACTTATCCCATCTTATGTCTGCTACTCTACACAAGGCCATTCAGAATCTTTTTATAGTTTTGAATGTTCTTTAATTGTTTCAAAACAATGGCAGCAGAAAGTGATCAATAAAATAGGGGGCTTGGCTGTGTAACAGACTCTCTGCAGCTGATGGGGGTTCAAAGGAATTAAGACCCTGAATCCTATACCTCTTCCCCAGAGAGGGAGGAAGACATAGGTTGGAACCTTTTCCTTATGTACACATCTACCTCTTGTGGGTAAACAGCTACTCACTGACAACCCATTACCCAGATAAACAGAAAATAACTTAGTCCCTTAGGGAAGAAGGTGTGAGGGAAGTAGTTATGTGCTGCCAAATATTTTACAAGGCGCTCTCAGAAATGTTCTGTCTCCCAACGTATGCTTTTTCCTACAATGTTTGCTAGTAATATATTTTGATTGAAAAATACAACTGTCTATTACAAGATAGCATTGCCCAGAAATAGGAACAAAACCTATCAACCTATACCAGTGGTTCTTAACCTTTTTTGCACCAAAACCCATTTGTAAACATTGATGTCCAGTCCTGACCCACAGCCCCCTATTCCTGCCAGTTGACCCATCACTCCCAACCCACAGCTTCCTGGCCCTGCTGGTGGCGCTCACTCCCCACTCACAGCCCCCTGGCACTGCCAGTCCTCCTCACTCCTGATCCACAGCTCCCTGGCCTTGCTGGTGCCCTTACTCCCAATCTGCAGTCCCCTACCCCAGCAGCCCTGACAAAGGGGGCCCCCAGCTGCCCCCACCCCACTCAGGCTGGAGCGTGGTGTCTGCAGCAGCTCCAGTTAATGCAGATGTCAGCAGAGCGAGTCCAACCCCAGCATGGCCTGAGGGGAGGAGGAGGAGAGGCCTGTGGCACCCTGCCCCGCTCTGGGCTGGGGCTCCCACACCACACCAGGCAGCCTGATCATGGCACCCCCCGCCTTCAAGCAGCGTCTCCCAGGTGTTCCACCCCTGTGACTATGGGCACCAGCCCTGATGCCGCTGGCCCAGCCATGCAGTTCCCCCCAACCCTTTTCCCCCACTGGAGGGCCTGGTGCTTTGTCTTTCGCCCCCTGCCCTGACACAGCCTCGGCACCCAGCCACCTTCCCCCAGTGCCAGCAGGCACCTGCCACACCCATTCCCCTCCACACCCACCCACACACACACGGACAGTTCCCAAACCCTGGACCTCCAACCTCTGCTCCCCTTACACTTAGCTGTATCCAACTGCTCAGGATGTTCCCTTGACCCTGCCTGGCTGCACACCAGCCATGTGCATGTGCACATGCAGATGCACATGCTCCCCCTGCCTCCCATCATCCCAAGTAGCTCCTTGCATGCTTGAATGCTGCCAGCCTGCAAGGGGAAACCCATGGTTTCCCACCTTTTTTTGGGACTTGCTCACAACCACAGTCAGATGGGTCACTAACTGGCTAGAGGGCTGTACCCAGAGAGTGGTGGTGGGTGGGTCTTATTTGACCTGGAGGGATGTGGGCAGTGGGGTTCCACAGGGCTCAGTCCTCAGGCCCGCACTGTTCAACATCTTCATCAGCAACTTGTTCAAATTCGCAGATGACACTAAGAGGTGGGGTGAAGTGGGCATGCTAGAAGAAAGGAATAGGCTGCAATTGGATCTGGACAGGCTACAGGGGTGGGTGTATGAGAACAGGATGGGTTTCAACACTGACAAGTACAGGGAACTACACTTGGGGTGGAAGAACCAGCAGCAGACCTACACACTGGGGAACTCCCTTCTTGTCAGTGCAGAGGCAGAGAAGGATCTTGGAGTAATTATTGACACCAATATGAACATGGACCGACAGTGTGGGGATGTGGTCAGGAAGGCCAACCATACCTTGTCATGCATCCACAGATGCATCTCAAGCAGGTCCAAGGAGGTGATCCTCCCCCTCTGTGCAACACTGGTTAGGCTGCAGTTGGAGTACTGTGTCCAGTTCTGGGTGCTGCACTTCAGGAGGGATGTGGACAGCATGGAGAGGGTCCAGAGGAGGGCTACCCACATGATATGGGGTCAGCAGTGCAGGCCCTATGAGGAGAGAAGCTAAGGGATCTGAACCTGTTCAGCCTCCACAAGAGAAGGCTGAGGGGGGATCTAGTGGCCATTTACACACTAGTCAGGGGGGACCAGCAGGCATTGGGAGAGTCCCTGTTCCCCCGAGCACTCCCAGGAGTGACAAGAAATAACGGTCACAAGCTAGCAGAGGGTAGATTCAGGCTAGATATCAGGAGGCACTACTTCACTGTCAGGACAGCTAGGATCTGGAACCAACTTCCAAGAGCAGTGGTGCTGGCTTCTACCCTGGGGGTCTTTAAAAGGAGGCTGGATGAACACCTTGCCGGGGTCATTTGACTCCAGTACTCTTTCCTGCTATGGCAGGGGGGTTGGACTTGATGATCTGCTCAGGTCCCTTCCGACCCTACTAACTATGAAATTATGAACCCTTTCAAATATTCTTGTGACCCACTTTTTGGTCGCGACCCACAGGTTGAGAAACACTGACCTATACTATATTCATGGCTCCCAATCTGATTTCTGACTATATTGTACTTCTTTGCTTCTCGAAAAATTGTGTATATGTGGTGAAGATAATATATTTCTTCAAACAGTACAGGCATACATTTAAATACTGTCAGAAAACACTGTAGTATCAACCTGAGCTATTAGATTGTGCTCTTAATTTTTAGTTATGTCATTTAGGAATGTATCATACCACAAAAGTGGCACAGAGTTTTATCTTGTCAGGCTTGTCCAAGGTTATTATAAGTTTTATTTTCTACTCATAGTGGATTGCAACTAATCATGCTGCACTCCCTTCTGGGAGTAGACTATACTCTGAGAAATGCTGATATAAAACATTGGTTCAGAAACACACAGGCACAATGCTGATGCTTAGCATAATTAAAGTGTATGCTTCCGTTTTTGGATAATGATCTACAACTTGGTTAGTGGGCACAATATTAAGTTATTAAATTGGGAGTACCTCTTGTGGCTTTTTGAAGCCCTGGGTTCAGAATTAATTAGCTAAATATCTGATGTAGCAACCCTTACTCGTGAGTAAGCTTTACTTATACAATGCAGCCAAATAAAATCACAGAGATGACTCATGTGAGAGGATTGTTTATGCAGTATCAGGCACTAGATGGGGTCCACTGAAAATTCAGGGCCTGATTCTAATTTTCATTATATTGATTTAACACCAATGTAATCCTACTCAGATAAATAGATTCATATCTAAACAAATGCAATTGAGAGAGGAGAACAGGCTGTCAACTGTATGATTTCCAAACACAAACTTTTGAAATCCCATAACACCTGCATGTCATGAACCATATCCCATGTATCATGAATAGAAATAATTTGCTGAGGGAATATGCAGTTCAGTAGCAAATACCAATCAGTACAAGAAACTTTAGTGTCATTGGGTTATGCTATAGGGTTTCCTTGGAGGGCTGAGCATCGAACTCCAGATCCCAGATGGTGCATGGGGATAGAAATACTCAGCAAAGCACCCCTCATCTGCCCTCTATAACAAGACCATATAAGTTTCCTTCCTTTCAAAACCTTCTCTGACTGTGGTATGGTGGAGATGGAAATTTGTCTACCTGTTTGCATTTTTCCAGCTTTAATACCAAAAAAAAAATTGGTAACAATTTACTGTGTTAATTTAATAACACCTGCAATAAGCCTAAGCCTTGCCTGCTCATGGTGAGAAGAACTTCACTCTGCAAATGGTACCAAATGGTATCAGGCTCTAAATGTGAAAACTATAATGAAAATATATGTACTGTTTTGAAAGTAACATCTTTGCAGTCAGCGTGTACTTCCATGGGAAGGAATCAAATAAAAAGTTAATATGGAATAAACAGAAAAATGAACTGTGATGGTCAGCCCCTTGCACTAAAATACTACCACAATTGATACCTGTCAAGTAGACCATGAAATAAGATTCTTTATGATGTGGCACTCCATTACATACATTTATAAAATACAGGAGAAAATTTGCTTTCTTTAGCAGTCTTATGTGAAATATTCTGAACAGCACAAAAAAGATGCATCATAGCTAGGGACAGGAGTTTCACATAAACCAGTATATGTGATTCGAAAATGGTTCAAATCTGTAACACAGCAGGGCTAAGTACAGACAATCAAAAAGCCCAAGTCTGAATTGATTCAGTCTTTGCAGGTTAGTTTAAGCTGCAAAGATTGAACCAATAAGCAAATGAACAGACATTAACTTGTGATTCAGGAAATGCAGACACATGCCTGCAGTAGGTCAAGCCAGAAGCCAGCATGGCTCTCTGGCACATAACCAGGATGGGCTGTGTGTTTGCTTCCTCTTCCTGCTCTCAAGATCTCT